GTGTACGTGCCAAAAGGATATGTGTTGCAAGCAAATAATTATTTTACAACAAAGGATTATCATAAGTATCATTTATATATATTCAAAATCTATTTCTCCTGTTTTGTGTTCTAACACATATATCCATTAACAAATTATTCATACTCAGTTCTCATGCATAACAATATAATTGTTTTGTTTTTGTAAAATTTTGAGGTTATGTTGAAATATACAACAAATATATATTTTAAAAAAGTCTTTCTTATTTTACTTAAAAAAGACTTTCTTTTACATAAAACCTCAAAGTTTTAACTTAATCTTTATAATTAATATATAAAATTTATGTTGCCAAGCATAAACTTTTCCTTCGTTAAACATATTAATCCAATGTCTAAAGGATATAACAATGTTCATCATTAAGTTTGTATATTTATAAACAAACCGTAATGAATAATAATAAATATTATTTCAGGTTTTTATCAAGATAATAAATATGAAATGAATTCGAATGAAATTCTTAAGAATGTCATCATGAAATAGTAAAAATTATTTCATATTTCGATTATTTATCAAGAACAATGGTTTGAAATCTTTATTATTTAGAGCCTCGAATGTTGGGATCGATTCTGGATAAATCATCTAGAATATTGAATCTTTATTTAGAATTTGGATTAATTGTCTATAATCAGGAACAATAGTATAAAATCTTATTTAGAATCTAATTTAAGAATGTAATCTTATTTAGAATCTAATTAGAGAATTGAGTCTTATTTAGAATCTAATTCAGAAACTGAACTAAGAATCCAATTCTTTTAGAATGTAGAATTTGGAATAATTGTATACAAACGGGAGCAATAGTAAAAAATCTTATTTGAAATTTAATTTAAAGATTCAATCTTATTTAGAATCTAATTTAGAAACTAAACCAAGAATTCAATTCATTTAGAATTTGGAATAATTGTATACAATCAGGACCAATAGTAAAAAATCTTATTTGAAATTTAATTTAATAATTCAATATTATTTAGAATCTAATTTAGAAACAAATCTAAGAATCCAATTCATTTAGAATGTAGAATTTGGAATAATTGTATACAAACGGGAGCAATAGTAAAAAATCTTATTTGAAATTTAATTTAAAGATTCAATCTTATTTAGAATCTAATTTAGAAACTAAACCAAGAATTCAATTCATTTAGAATTTGGAATAATTGTATACAATCAGGACCAATAGTAAAAAATCTTATTTGAAATTTAATTTAATAATTCAATATTATTTAGAATCTAATTTAGAAACAAATCTAAGAATCCAATTCATTTAGAATGTAGAATTTGGAATAATTGTATACAATTGGGAGCAATAGTAAAAAATCTTATTTGAAATTCAATTTAAGAATCCAGTCTTATTTAGAATCTAATTTAGAAACAAATCTAAGAATCCAATTCTTTTAGAATGTAGAATTTGGAATAATTGTATACAATCGGTAGCAATAGTAAAAATTCTTATTTGAAATTTAATTTAAGAATTTAATCTTATTTAGAATCTAATTCAGAAAATAATCTGAGAATCCAATTCTTTTAGAATGTAGAATTTGGAATAATTGTATACAATCGGAAGCAAGGGTATAAAATCTTTTTTGAAATCTAATTTAAGAATTCAATATTATTTAGATTCTAATTTAGAAACTAATCTAAGAATCCAATTCTTTTAGAATGTAGAATTTAGAATAATTGTATACAATCAGGAGCTAAATCTTATTTGAAATTTTATTTAAGAATTCAATCTTATTTAGAATCTAATTGAAAACTAATCTGAGAATCCAATTCTTTTAGAATGTAGAATTTGGAATAATTGTATACAATCAGGAGCAATAGTAAAAAATCTTATTTGAAATTTAATTTAAGAATTCAATCTTATTTAGAATCTAATTTAGAAACTAATCTAAGAATTCAATTCATTTAGAATGTATAATTTGGAATAATTGTATACAATTGGGAGCAATAGTAAAAAATCTTATTTGAAATGTAATTTAAGAATTCAGTCTTATTTAGAATCTAATTTAGAAACTAAACTAAGAATCTAATTCTTTTAGAATGTAGAATTTGGAATAATTGTATACAATCGGGAGCAATAGTAAAAAATCTTATTTGAAATTTAATTTAAGAATTCAATCTTATTTAGAATCTAATTAAGAAACAAATCTAAGAATCCAATTCTTTTAGAATGTAGAATTTGGAATAATTGTCCATGATCAGAAGCAAGAGTAAAAAATCTTATTTAGAATCTAATTTGAGAATTTAATCTTACTTAGAATCTAATTTAAGAATCCAATTCATTTAGAATCTCGATTATTCATTTACAATCGAATAATTAATCTACAATGTAGTTCGTCTACAATCTTAATTGATCATCTGCATAATTATCTAGAATTTATCTAGATTTTTGATTCAATTCATCTAAAACATGGATTACTCATATGAAATCTAGATTAATGGTATAAAATTTCTATTCTTTACTTAGAATCTCAATTGTTTATCTAGAATCCGAACTGAATCATGTAGAAGCTGGATTACGCATTTAAATTCTTGCTAATTTCTTTAGTATTTGGATTAATTGTCTGCAGTCTCGATTAATGGTATTCAAACTATAGTATCCCAATTGTAAGCCTACAATCTGGATTAATTAGCTGGAATCTGGATTATCGATCTACATTCTTGATTATTCATCTAGAAATCACAACTATATATATATGAAAAGTTATATAAACAGGATTTTTATTTAAATCTATTAATAATGAAATTAATTTAAAAATTGAAAATTTAAAAAAGGAATACAAAATTTCATTTTATATATAAATATATATACATGTATATATATATATATATATGTATATATGTATATATATATATATATATATATATATATATATATATATATATATAATCAAAGCTATATATACAAACAGCACCTTCAACAACAGCAACAACCTCGAGACCATTGGAGTTTATCTTGGGGAAGATTTAAAACTCGAATCGTACTTTCCATAGGAATTGTTTCCATGCTCCTTTTTTCCTGGATTGAGATTAAAGGAGGATTCCCTTGAGTGTCTTCAATCACTTCTTTTGGAGTCTTTTTGCATTACGCTTATCAGATTAGTTTATAAGTTAAGTATGGTGAATTTCAACACCATCCATTTCCTCCTGAAATGGTTGATGCATAAGTACACGATTTATGTAGAGACACCACAAATGAAAAGTTACATTACAGTACAAAACTGCACATAGCTATTTAATCTAACTTCTGGGTATTGTGGAAAGAATTCGTTGGCTCTTAGTTTTCATCAAAATATAAGTATTTTCATGATAATTATTATTTTTGCAATGAATTACACACATGAACACATTCAGACAATTACAAAAGCCACTTCGAGGATCATTTAAAATTCACTTGCCAGAAAACTACACCATAACACCTCGATGAGAAGATTAAAAAAGAATTTAAAATATTTTTAATGTTCAAAATCTTGGACAATGGTTGGAAAAGAAGATTTAGTATTTGCAAAGTATTATTTAATGTCTTTATTTAATTTATTTAATGTTTAAGCGCAAAAATTACTATATTGTATATATATATATATATATATATATATATATATATAATTATAATAATTACAAAAGTAATGTTAAAAAATTTGTTAAATTAAAAATTATCAAAAGAATCTGTGCTTTTTAATTTTTCAAATTTATTTGAAAGCTCTATATATTTATTCATTGAAAAATATATTGTTCATTTTCAGAATTTATAATTTGATATAATATTTGCAGAGTATCTACTGCATATAAAAATAAAATAATATTGATAAGGCAATAATCTTAAAGAAGAAAAAAATATTTTTACCATACCTTTTTTGTCCACGACTACTGAAATTCCAATTCGGATGTTCCAGAGGATCTATTTTGATGTCATTGTTCCTGATGATGGCTTATATCTGTAATTAAAAGAGACTTCAATTAA